CCAAGATGTAGCCCCTAGTCAAGGCAATCCCAATGGCTCCGGGCCAGGCCCAGGGATGGATGTGGACAAATGCCAGCCCCCACATTCTTGAGTCCTTGCTGCCATAGGGCCTGTGCCACATGGGCTTATACACATTCCCATTTCATGCCCATACCTATGGGGAGACAGGCTGGGAGAGGAGAGACAGCAGCTTGCTTACAGCAGGCGAGGACGGCTCCCAACACCCAAGATCCACTCCCTGGCCAGGAGAGCATTGTGAGCCATGGGGAGGGCTTGGATTGCCAGAAGAGGGGTGGGGCCACTGTGAGCAAAAACTACGCAGGCAGGGAGGAGGCACCCAATCTCTAAGAACATGCTGGGTGTGGGACCTATGGACAAAAAGGGGCCATATACTAAACCTGACAACCTCAGGGGGAGGCCTGCATGGTGGGCCTTACAAACTTAGAAACCGAAAGTAACCACATAGGATGGTCTGAACATAAAAATTTCTAGCTAAAATTGGGTAGTCTTTTTGCATCTAAGATAGCATTACTTTTGAAATGTCAGAGTAAAGTCCTTTTCCAGATCCCTCAGGGCATACCCATGGCACCTGAGCAGAGACCACAGAGCCTTTCATTGCTATTGTTCCCTGAGTACCATCCCTAGGTGCTGTAAATGGTAACGGGTAACTACCCCATACCTACCAATGTAAAAGAAGCATGTGTCTATTATATTCTTTATCCAATCTCAGAGATTTACCCGCTTTGCTTTCTCCCGTCTCCCTAATCTACTACCAATTCATTTCATTTAACCCCTTACTTCTCCTTTGATTATAATGTATAAAATAAGCTGTAAAATTGGCATTCTCCAGAGCATTTTCTCAATCTGTTGAGGTTTTGCTTCCCAGCAATTATCGTCAGTTTGGCTCAAATAAACTCAAACATTCTCTATAGGTTTGGAGGTTTCTTAGCTGACAGATCTCGTGCCTCTGGCTGATGAATGGGCTTGGGTTAGGGGTCTGGCCAGAGGTGGACACTTTGGTGTGAAGAAGCAAACCCAATCCCACCCTCCAACCTGCATAAGCTTGTTGCTGGGATGATCTCAACAGAGGACCCACTTCTCTGGCTTCAGCTGCCTCTTCAGTAACATGGAGGGGAAAAAATCCCTAACTGCCTACAGTATAGGCACCTGACCATTCACCCAGTCACCAAACCTGGGACAGGTGGTGTTTATGTGTTTCCTGGATGGAGCACAAGCTGCTTCATCACCAGATCCTTCTAGCCCCCCACCTTCACCTCTACCAGCCCCCCACCTCCACCTCCACCAGGCCCCCCACCTCCATCTCCACCAGCCCCTCACCTCCACTCCCAGCTCTTTCCTGGATGGAGCACAAGCTGCTTCATCACCAGACTCCACCAGCCCCTCACCTCCACCTCTACCAGCCCCCCACCTCCACCTCTACCAGCCCCTCACCTCCACTTACATCAGGCCCCCCCACCTCCACCCTACACTAGCCCAAGCATGGGCCAGACACACAGGAAGTGCAGGGCAGCCATCTATGGACCTGCTGCCTGAATCTGGCTTTGCAGATAGGACGCTGGGGTCCTGCTCTTCCCACCGTGACACATCTCCTTTAGTGAGGTGCACTCCACAAGTGACAGGGATGACAAAGAGAAAGGCATAGGGAGCTGAGACAGAGGTCCCTGGGAGGGTGGGGCCCTGGGTTCTCCATGAAGAGGCTGGGGAGGGCTGTGTGCCTGATCCCTGGCCCCCTCTAGCTCTTATAAGAACATACACCATTCTGCCTAAATTGAGATGGAAAACATGTAAACAGAGAAGAAATGGAGGGCATCCAGTGGAGGCCCATGGCCGTGCCCACCCATACACTTTTCATCTCTAGTCCAGTTCATTGAACAGCTCTCACACCCCAGGAGGGCAGTATAGGGCTCTAGCTTCCAGGGACCTTGGGGGGCAGGGGACCTGCCACCTCTCAGGCCAGCCTGGAGGTTGGCATGCATCCCTGTCATCCACCAGCTTTGTAGAGAACTGGAGAGTCCCAATTCCTCTGCCAAGGGTGTGGGCCCGGTGTGGAGGCAGGGGCCAGGACCTGGGGATGGAGGGGGCGGGACACTGGCCTGGCTGGTCCATCTGGGAGTAATTTGAGAAATTCTAGGCCTCACTGGCCCTACAAGGCTATTCTTAACTGCTGTAATTACAGGGTCAGCCTTGGCCAGTGGTACTGTGGGGTTTGGGCATCAGTTAACTCCTCCAGAGGCTATGCTGGGGCTGGGTGGGGTGGGGCTGTTCTTCAGGGGGAGGGCGACCCCTCACAGGCCAATGGTGGAGCCTGAAAGGCAGGAAGTGGTGGATGGGGAGCATTTAATGGCTAGTGCTGGGTCCCTTTTCCAGGTTGACCAGCTCCCTCCCGCTGCTGGGGGGCCCTGTAGGGAAGGGACTGTCTGGCCAGGGGAAGCAAAGAGGACAAGATGCCAGTACAGAATCTGCACCAGAGGAGGGGATGCTGGAAATGGAGCAAAGAGCCCAGGGAGCACCATTTCCTCCAGTGCATGTGGGTCCTAGTGACTCCCCTGAATCTCCAGGGCCCAGAGCAGGCAAAAGCCTCACACCCAATTGTAATGCCAAGGAAGGCACTGGAGCTCGCTCAGCCTCACCTTCCTTACTTGCAAAATGGACCTCATCAGCTTTTTAGCCTCTCCAAGGCTGTGACAGAGGATGGGAGTGGAGGGTCAATGCCACCCTGACCTTTACCCCTTCGCTGAAAACTCAACCAGGGAACACCCTGCCAGGAGCTCTTATGGCACTCAGACCCCAGACACAGCCCTTGCTGCTCCTGGAACTTGGAGACGTCATAGCACTCCCTGTGACTCAGTTTTCCCAGTTGTGAAACAGAAGAGGAAGTGGCTGACAGGATATCCAAGGACCAAGACCTCTCCCTGCTCTGACCTTTGCAGGCCCCTGCCTGGTGGTGGTGCTGAGGGTCCCAGCAAGTCCCTCCGAGAGTCATAGCTGAGCAAGGCTAAGGCTTTGGAACAGGGGCCAGGTCCCTGCCTCCTCCCGTCCCAGCTTAGCTGGTCCCCTGCACTCTGAAGCCTCTTTCCTCAGCTGTACATGGGGTCCATGTAGACCAGTGGTTCCCAAACTTATTTGGCCTACCGCCCCCTTTCCAGAAAAAATATTACTCAGCCCCTGGAAATTAAATTTTTTAAAATTTTAATAGCAGTTACTCATTGCCCCCAAATGCACCTGTGGCCATCACCGCCCCCCTGGATCGCTGCAGCGCCCACCGGGGGGCGGTAGCGCCCACTTTGGGAATCACTGATGTAGACTGAAGGGATGGGTCACTCCTCAGCACTTAGTGAGCCACAGTGACCCTGAGCCATCTCTGCACAGAGTGGGCTCAGCCCAGAGCCCCATGGGCACCACCACAAATCCTCCTGCACACTTCTTGGGAGGATGGAAGGATGAGGTGCATCTGCATATCCCTCACCAAGGCACCGCTCACCAAGGACAAGAAGGGATGGGCATGTAGCCAGGGCTGAGGAGGCCCCATAAAGCCCACAAGTTCAAGGCCTGCCTCCCTCTGCTCTTTGTGCTTCCAAACCTGCCAACCCATCTGTCCCCACATCCATCCCAAGTCCACCTTGCTATTGTAGCCTCAGCACCCCCAAAACACCCATAGCAAAATCAAGTGCATTCTCATGTCGACCACCCACACATCCGCCGGGTCACAGTCTCCTCCCCAAATGCCGAAATACACCAACCTGAGTCCCTAGGCCAAAAGTCTGCCCCATGACTAAGTGCCACATGAGCTGGGTCAGTTGGGTTAATTCACCTACTCTGGGCTGCCTCACCACCCCCTGATGGTGAAGCTCCAGGGGGCTCCTCAGACACCCCCTGACTGCTCCGGTGATGAGTCATCTCTCTGACAGGATCTGAGCCAGGTAAAGCCCTTATAGCTGGATCGGGCCCTGTACTCTGCAGATGGCCCTGCCATGGCACATCAGGAGCCCTTAGCATTGGTGCCCATTCACAGGTTTGGAATCAAGACATCGTCTGGGCCCTTGCCCCACCCCACCCCCAGTCCATCCCAACATGCTGGCTGCTCCTACCCAGGTGAGGTGTCCAGGGTGAGGGAAGTGAGGGCGCTGGAGAAGTGCCGGGTGTCCCACAGCTTCACTTCACGTTCACGCATCTGTGGGGAGGAGACAGAGAGAGGCTCAGAGGTCCGTCTGTCAGCCCCCAGGGCTCCCCAGGAACCTCGTGCCCAGGGACACAGCCTGGCACAGAGGCACTTGCCCCAGAAAGAGCTTAGAAGGCAGTGGTGGTAGGGGGAAGCATGCCAGGATGGGAGATTTTTGGGTTTTTAGGTCCTGCCCCTTTAAGAGCCCTTAGGTGACAAGGGACAAGGGGCGTTTCCCTGCATGGACTCTGGTCCCTGGGGGAGCTGCCACAGTTCCCAGGGTCAGGCTTAGCTATTACAAATGGAATCTACCAGTTTTCAGCAGTAGTTGGTCCCCTGGGGCTCTAGACCCGGCTGCACTCAGGGCCATATATGGACAGGCCTGGAGCTAGCCTGCGGACCCTGCCCCCCGGTGGGCCTCATCCCTGCTCTCTTGGCATGAGTCCCTGCTCACCTTCAAGGAGCCCTACCTGGTTGAATCCAGTGGACACAAGGTGCTCCTGGGTGCCTGTCCACACCAGCCGGCCATCCTTGCTGTTCTCATGGGCCTGTGTGCTCTGCAGGAGGCAGGAGAGAAAACTGAACCATCCCAGGGCCACTAGCCTGACAGCCCAACAGAGCAAAGGAGGGGCCAGGTCGGGGCCCCTTGGGAGCTGGTTAGAGACTGAGGAAGCCTCGTATCACTACAGGATGGACCTCAGCTGAAGGCAGTGCTATACCTGGAGAGCAGACCCAGCACCCAGATTGGGCTCAATCTCCCTCCTCGTAAGGGAACTTTCAGGCTGTCCTGCTCACTATTGGGCCCCCTTGCTACAGCGACTCAGAAGGGTAGCATGTCATTGCCCCTACAGGTGTCCTGGAGGTATCACCCAGCTTCTTGTCACAATCCCCAGGCTCTGGGGACCTGTGTGCCCTCTCAGAATTTCATTTTTCTCACTTATGCATGGGCTCATGTTGCCCAGGCTGCCTACTACCCAGGACTGTGGAGAGGATCAACTGAGACTATATGAGGATCAACTGAGAGAAACAGGCCTGTTGCAAAGCGCTGTGCAAATCAAGGGATTACTAGAATTACTGCTGCCTCCTGATGCTGCCAGGGGGCCGGGGAGAGGGCCTGGTGCCAAGCTCTGTGGAATGTCCTTGGAGAGGCATAGCAGTGCCCCTCTTCGCCCTCCCATGGTGTTAGAGCTGCCAGCTGGAAGGCTCACTGGGACCCAGGAAGGAGAGGCTTGAGTTCATACCATATGCAACCCTGTCCCCTGGGCCCAGATGGGGGGGGAGTCCAAGAGGCCAGAGGAAATGCAAACAGCTCCCTCCCAGTCACCCTGGCCTCTAGAGCCTGAGACAAAAGACCCTGTTACCAAAAATAGCTCACCCCAAACTGTGGCCAGCTTCCTCCAAGCTTCCCACGATCTCCTTGGGAATGAATGAGGGAGGGAGGCAGCCTGTAAGGAGCTGGCCCAGAGCCCCCTCCCCAGCCCGCAGAGGCAGACCCCAGCGTGGGAGACCATCGGAAACAGCTCAGCGTCATTCAGGGGCTTTTCTCACTGCTTATTTCCCACCCAGCCACAGCCGGCACACAGAAGTCAAGGCTAGAGCCTGAGAACCAGTAACCCACACTCCTCTCTCTCCACACAAAAGGAGCTGTGGGGTCAGGGTGAAGGTCAGCCCCATCCCCAACACCCTAGAGTAGGTCAGAAGTGTCACATGGGCTCTCGTCCTCTCAACAGCATGCAAATACCCCATGTGTAAGCAGCAAACCAGATGGCTCACAATGCATCTGAACACTGTTCATTCAATAGACATGGGAAGCCTCTCAAAGGACACGCACTATGCTAAGAGCTGGTGGTGGACCAAACAGATCTCAGATGAACAGTCATGTACTTGGGTGAAGCAGGACTGCTAATCTTTTCCTCAATACAAGCATTTGAGCTGCACACTATAGTAGGTACTGGGTCAGTGAACAGAAAAGATCTCCAAACTCATAGGATATACAAGTCAGGAGACAGATGTGAACCAAATAAAGGATCACCACTAGAGGCCCAATGCACAAATTCGTGCATGGGTGGGGTCCCTTGGCCTGGCTGGTGATTGGGGCCAATCGGGGGCCATCTCGCCCAGTCCCACTTGGGGCTGATCAGGGCTGGCCGGCTGGGGAGAGGGACATGAGACGTTGGCCAGCCACAGGAGGTTGGCTGTGGGAACACACTGACCACCAGGGGGCAGCTCCTGCGTTGAGCGTCTGCCCCCTGGTGGTCAGGGCGCATCATAGCAACCAGTCGACCAATTTCAGTCAACCAGTCCTAATGGTTGCTTAGGTTTTTATATATATAGACTAGAGGCCCGGTGCACAAAAATTTGTGCACTGTGGGGGGGGGGTGTCCCTCAGCCCGGCCTGTGCCCTCTCGCAGTCTGGGACCCCTCAGGAGATAACGACCTGCTGGCTTAGGCCTGCTCCTGGGTGGCAGAGGGCAGGCCCAATCCGTAGGTGCAGCCCCTGGTCGGGCTCAGAGCAGGGCTGATTGGGGAGTTGGGGCGCCGCCCCCTGTCATGCACAGAGCAGGGCGGATCGGGAGGTTGCGATGCCACCCTCAGTCACGCTCAGGGTGGGGCCGATTGGGGGGTTGGGGCACTGCCCCCTGTCACACTCAAGGCAGGGTTGATGGGGAGGTTGCGGCGCCACCCCCTGTCACGCACAGAGCAGGGCCAATCAGGGGGTTGGGGCGCTGCCCTCTGTCACGCACAGAGCAGGGCCCATCAGGGGGTTGGGGCGCCTTCCCCTGTCACGAACAGAGCAGGGCGGATAGGGAGGTTGTGGCCCCGCCCCCTGTCACACACAGAGCTGCAGGGCGATCAGGGGGTTTGGGCGCTGCCCCCTGTCATGCTGATCCGGTGCCAGGAGGCATATTACCCTTTTACTATATAGGATAGAGGCCTGGGGGCCGGCTGGTTTGCCCTGAAGGGGGTCCTGGATCAGGGTGGGGGTCCCTACTGGGGTGCCTGGCCAGCCTGGATGAGGGGATGATGGCTGTTTGCAGCTGGTCACACACCCTTCAGGGTGGGGGTCCCCACTGGGGTGCCTGGACAGTCTGGGTGAGGGGCTGAGGGCTGCTTTCAGGCTGGCGGTTGTTGACTGAAGCTCCCAACCGCTCCTTTTTTTTCTCTTTTTTTAAATTTTATTCTGGGCCAGCTTTAGCTCTGGCTCTAGCTCTGAGGCTTCATATCTGGTTTGTTTGCTGTTCTATAATCTAAACAATGTATAACTTCAGCTCTGAGATCCTGGCAGGCTGAAAGCTGGTTTCTGGGGTTTTGTTTAGCTTCTACATTTGCAACATAGTACATAGTTGCTTAGAGTTGCAACTCAGAGGCCGGCAAGTCAGGCGGGGAACGTTGGAGTCTGCAGTCACTGGAGCAAGCAAGCCTCATGTTCGCTTCCAGCTGCCTGGCTGCCGGCCGCCATCTTGGCTGACAGTTAATTTGCATAAGGATATGCTGATTAGCCAATGGGAAGGGTAGCGGTCGTACGCTAATTACCATGTTTCTCTTTTATTAGTGTAGATATGCTATTACAAATGCCACAAAAAGGTAAGGTGGCAGTTAAGGTTGCAAACTTTAGAGTCAAACTGCCTGGGTGAAAACCCTGCCCGGCCACTGAGAGCCTCATCCCAGTATGAGATACTCAACATCTCTGTGCCTCAGTTTCCTTATCTGTAAAACGAGCACCATAGTGGGACCTACTCTGGAGGGTAGTTTCAAGGAGTGTTAATAGTGGTGAAGTGTGCTCAGGGTCTAATGTGCATTATTTTAAAGCATGACAACAGAGTACAATAAGAGGATAATTGAGCCCGGCCGGTGTTGCCCAGTGGTTATCCACCTATGAACCAAGAGGTCATGGTTGGATTCCCGGTCAGGTCACATGCCCAGGTTTCAGGCTCAATCCCCAGTGAGGGGTGTGCAGGAGGCAGCCAGTTGATCATTCTCTCTCATTATTGATGTTTCTATCTCTCTCTCCCTCTCCATTCTTCTCTGAGAAAACAAACAAAAAACAACACACAAATAAATATGTGTGTGTGTGTGTGTGTGTGTGTGTGTGTGTGTGTGTGTGTATATATATCTTTTTAAAGAGTATAATTGAGAGAAATAGATTTAAGGTAACATTTGAGATAAGACATGAAGGATCAGCAGATGTGAGCCATGCCAGAAGTGCAGGGGGCCTAGGAAAGCAAAGGGCCCAGTGCAGAGGGTGGATGGGTGGGAGCAAGGGAGAGGAGGTGACACCCAGCCAGCAGGGTCCTCAGGCAGTGATGGAGTAGTTTTTCATTCAGAGGCACAGGTTGGGGTTGGAACATACCTCAGCCTGTATCTCCTACCTTCCCTATGTACACATGCAGAAACCAGAAGCCCAGAGAGCAGGAGCTATCTACCCCAAGTCACCTGTTGGTTATTTGAGCCTCCTACCCCCTGTGGGCTAAGTCCATGGTTATTGCTCTCTATCTATGCAAGAGGAACCTGAAGTGAAGACAGGCGAGGAGACAGAGCCACAGCTAGAAGGCAGCAGAGCCTGGGCCACAAAAAGCCCAGGGTCCTGGCTGCGTCTGGGCCACCTTGGATATCCAACAAATGTCCTTGAACAAACTCCCACTGGAGGAAACAGGCCCAGACAGTTGGGGTGGGCAGTGTGGGCTGGTGAGTCCTGCTTGCCCTGCAGCTTTCCACTTGCACCTTCTAGTCTCCAAACCAAGAAGTGAAGACAAGGTAAGAGCTTAGGCTGAACCCAGAGTGCACACTGTGGGCATACACAGTTCAGTCTTCCCAGGGGCCATGGGTGGGGAAGGGAAGGCCACTGACCCCCTCCCCTCTCCTCTATCTCCTGATCATGGGTGTGATTTTCATTTTCAAAAATAGCAAGTTCACCTGGCCATCGTGACTCAGTGGGGTTGAGCGTCAACCTATGAACCAGGAGTCATGGTTCAATTCCTGGTCAGGGCACATGCCTGGGTTGCAGGCTCAGTCCCCAGTGTGGGGCATGCAAGGGGCAGCCAATCGATGATTCTCTCTCATCACTGATGTTTCTGTCTCTTTCTCCCTCTCCCTTCTTCTCTGAGGTCAATAAAAAAAAAAAAATAGCAAGTTCTTTCAGCACCTCAGTGGGACTCAGGGAAGGGAGCCTTTTCTTCCAGATCCTCAGATTCTCATTCTCCTGGGACAGCAGGGAGGCTGCAGCTAGGACCCAGGCATCCTGCTAACTCAAGCTCCAGCCCTATAAAAGGAGGCCCAGGGGGAAGCCACTGGTGGTAATTCCAAACCTGCAGGCCAGGCCTTGGGAGTTTCCCTCTCACAGGGAACAGCCAACAGGGTACCCTGCTTGTGGAGAAGTCCCCCTTCCCCCATGTCTCACTCACCCATGGCTCCATAAGAGAAAAGGAGGGGCTGAGATCAGGCAGTAGTACTTGCCCAGCAGAGGGGCACCAGGAGCATAGCATTCTGGCTGCAGTGCAGCCAAATCCCTCCTCTGCTGCCATAGCAACACTTCCTATATGGGGCAGGGCAGCTGGAGGAGTTGACCTGGGCTCCCTCCTCAAGTGAGAGGACCTTCTCCAATGGTAAGACACCCACCCCATTCACCCATGCTCCTTTCTCAGTTAGGCTCAGTATTGGTCTCCAGGTGCCCTTCCCCCCAGGCCTGTCCAACACACAGGGGTGCTCAGAAGGTACAGGTCCACCTGCCCACACCAGAGGTTAGAAGGCTTGTTCCAGCCCCACTCCTGCCCCTGACAGGGTACTAAAGCCTTACTACTCCCTGGACACCCCCTCAGCTATGGGCTGATACTTTCCATGGCACACCCATGGTTTCAGGGACTCAGACACCCCCACCTGGGCTCTGGCATAGGGAAGGGACAGCAGAGGGGTCCAGGGGCTTCCAGACCACACCTGCCTCTGCTACACAGCTGTGTGATCTTGGGGCAGAAATGATCAAAGGGCAGACTTCATAGGCCAGTCATAAGGGTGAAAGGCGGTGGTGGGTGGAAGGAGGTGGCTCATGCCAAGGGCCTGGGACACAATAAGTGTAATCTAAAAGCAAAGTAGGGCATGCGAATAGGAGGGAGCTGCCCAAGCATCCCCTGCTCCAAGCCAGATACAGGGTGAAAAAGGCAGCGGAGGAAGGACTCCCAGGCCTCCCCAACCAGCCTCCAGGCTGTGGGGACAGCCACTGGAGCAGGGAGGACAGAAGTTGGACCAAGGGCAACATTTCTTTCCTTGACCCTCCAGCAAACGCTCCCCTCTAGTGGGGAAAGAGGATCTCAGGAGATGGTGTTCCCAGAAGGCCTATCCCTGGAGCTGGCCCCTCGGCTCACACCAACCCTGGCCGCCAGCAGCGGTTTTCCTAATAGAAGCCAGGTGTGGGCCAGATGCCCTGGGCGGAAGTAGGGGGGCAGGGCCATGCACAGGCAGCATTCCAGGCTCACTGCCCCCACACCAGCACAGGCACTGTCCCAGCAGCAGGGAGTGGGTGGGAGCCACCCACGCTCTTCCCAGGTCTCCTCACTGAGAAGCCCCTTTAGGGGGGCTCCCTCCAAAACCAGATCTTCTCCCTCCCTCTTCTAGGAACTTGGAACCCCTTGGACAACAGCCACTGAATCTCTACCTCAGCACCATTACCATCCCCTCCTTGCTGGAGAAGGATGAGAAGGAGATGAGGAGGAGGAGGAGGAAAAAGAGGAGGAAAACGAAGAAAAGGAAGAAAACATTCAGGCCAGGGAAGCTGGCAATGCCCAGTCAGGGCAGGAATGGAGGTGCCACACACTGTTCCCCAAAACCTTGGGTAGCAGAGGGCAACCTGAGAAAGCTGGGAGAACAGGGCTTCAGACTTTCTCTTTCAAGCTGAGCCTGGGACCCCCTTTCCAGGCAAAAGCTTGGAGACTAGCCACAGAAAGCTACAGTGAAGCTCACTGCTCACACCCGCACTGCCCTAACACTCAGATTCAGCTATCCCCACCAGCCACAGAGGCACGGCCTGGGGGAGGGGAGTGCTAAAACCACTCCTGCCCAGCTTGGTTCACCTGTCAGGGCAGAGCCTCCTTTTGGTCTTCAGCCAGCCAGAGGTGGAATTGACTGGACAGTCTTGGGCAAAAAGTTGCAAATGGCTAGTGAGGGGGACTGTGTGGGCACACCTATGTGTGTGTGCGGGGGGGTGGGGGGGGGGGGAGGGGATTGCCAGGGCCCCTAACTACCGCTGGTTGGGTTTAAGCTGGTGGATTATCCCTTTCTCCACTTGGGGAAACAAGCTCTAGAAATGGAGACCAGGACATCTGTGATGAGACCGGGGCTTCGCTGGGAGTTTCTCCCGAGCTAGCAGCAGGGCCTTGAACTTCATCTTTCCCAGGGAAGAAGTCTCCTCAGGTTCTAGAAAAATCCTTTAAAAAGTGCAAACCCCCTCATGTCTTTTAAAAAAATCGTTTATAAAATGTAAATCTGCTCATTGATGCTTAAAACTCTCTAGTGGCTTCCTACAGCAAAGGTGAGAGGCCCTTCACCATGGGCCCTGGCTCTCCTCTGTGGCCCTCACTCCTGGAGCAAGCTCGTCCGACCTCTGGCTGTCCCCTTTGCACCACTCAGGCCTCAGCTCCGAGCCATCTCCTCAGGGAAGCACTAAACTGCCTCAGCAAGAGAAACCCCTTGGCAAGTACTCCATGTGTCTGTCTCATTCACCACAGAACATTCCAAGCTTGGCACCAAGCTGCTATAGAATGAAGGAATGACTCTGAAGTGGCTCAATGCCTATAGCATGAACCCAGGGGCCAGCCTTCCCACTCAGAACTCATAGGGCCATACACACCTCATTCACAATAGACAAAACCAAACAAGCTCATTACTGTGTCCCTCAGATCGGGCAGGCCCCCAGCACAGCCCACAGACCCTGGACAAAGACTTAGAGTCTGCCTACTATGAGACTGGAGGGTTGCAGAAGGCAGCACTGTGTCTTTTGGTTCCTCTGTGGCTAGCCTCTGCTGGCCATGCCAGGAAGGGTGGGTGGGGATGAGGGTCTTAAAGGAGAGGAAGCTGGAATCTCAAATTAGTTTCTTGAAGCCACAGGACACCTCCAGTGAAGGCCTGTGGGCAGCCCGGCTGAGCCCCACCCTGAGATCAAAGCCAGACCCTCCCAGGACCCAGAATATGCTTCTCGGAAAGAGCTGGAGCCCACCTCTTAGGTGACCCACACCCACCCAATGGGCCTTGGCCAGGGGCACGGGGTGTGGCAGAATCTGTCAACCAGGAGGTTGAACCTGCCCCTGCCTGTTCATGTTGGAGCCACTGGGGCCTCAACCAAGCCCTGCTGCCCACACAACTCACCTGGGAGGCCTCAGGCTTTGCTCTGGGGTCAAAGATCCTCAGCTGCTTGTCCTAGAAAAGCAAAGAGGAGGCAACAAGAGTACAATTAGGGTGGGCTGGGTCCCTGGGGGCCAGCCTGTCTCCTGGATCCCAGGCTCTGATGGTCCCACTCCTCAGTATACAGGGCTGGTGTTCAGCACCAGGAGACCCCTCCCCAGGCTGGTTCCTCCTTCTCACCACAGGGGACAGGCTCCTTTTCCTGCCTTAGTCACTCACAATAGAGAACTCACTGACAAGAGTTCACATTTCCTAAGTATCAGGCATGTTACATGCAGGATCTCGCCCCATCTTTCCAACCACCTTGTGAGGCAGTGTTATCACCATGACCCCTTCACAGATGGAGAAACTGAAACCCAGAACAAAACTCTAGGCTACCAGCTACTACACATGTGTCCAGCCCTGTGCTGGCCCAGAGGGGCTTACGGGACAATGTCATTTCTACACTTAAAAAATTTGGTGTCTAACCAAGATGATGAGCTTACACATCTTAGCCATCACTCAGCACACAGTTCCAGATTACCCCAAGATGGCAATAGGAACAGACAAAAAGGAAAAAAAGAAAATGCCTATACCTATATAAGGACTTTATATCTGTGTGTGTGCATACATAAACATATGTGGAGAAAGAACTGGGAGAGAGGGGCAGAATCTGAATCCATTATTTGCAGGCTTGGCCATGACAAGTTCTTTATTTTTTAATTGATTTGAGAGAGAGAGAGGAAGGGAGGGAAGAAGAGAAATACTGATGTGAGAGAGAAACATCGATCAGCTGCCTCCCGTATGCGCCCTTGACCAGGATCGAACCTGCAACTCAGGTACGTGCTCTGACAGGGCATCCAACCTACAACTTTTTTGGTGAACAGGACAATTCTCCAACCACTGAGCTATCTGGCTGGGGTATTCATGATAAATTCTTTTTTTTTTTTAATATATTTTATTGATTTTTTACAGAGAGGAAGGGAGAGAGATAGAGAGCTAGAAACATCGATGAGAGAGAAACATCGATTCAGCTGCTTCCTGCACACTCCCTACTGGGGATGTGCCCGCAACCAAGGTACATGCCCTTGACCAGAATAGAACCTGGGACCTTTCAGTCCGCAGGCCGACGATCTACCACTGAGCCAACCGGTTTCGGCCATGATAAATTCTTAAGTGCTAAAAGGAAGATGCAGAATAACATGGCACGGTGCAATCCTACTGTGGTAAAAAGAAACAAAATCCCCTATTTGTCTAATCATGTATTTATAGGTTTTGCAAGTTTGCTGAGCAAGGAGAAAGATGTCGACTAGTACAAGCCATGTGTTAAAGATGGGTACCAGGGCTGGGGGATGTGGGGATTGATTAGCTTTTCCTTTTCCTTTTCCTTTTTATTTTTTAAAATATATTTCATTGATTTTTTTACAGAGAGGAAGGGAGGAGAGGGATAGAGAGTAGGAAGCATCGATGAGAGAGAAACATCGATTCAGCTGCTTCCTGCACACTCCCTACTGGGGATGTGCCCGCAACCAAGGTACATGCCCTTGACCAGAATCGAACCTGGGACCCTTCAGTCCGCAGGCCGACGCTCTATCCACTGAGCCAAACCGGTCAGGGCAGCTTTTCCTTTTTAAATTTTGGAATGGTTCCACTTTGTTTCAATCAATATGGATTCACACTTTCATATTTTGAACAACAATGAACCTGCAATGAACAACTGGAATTTGAAATTAAAAGCACAATACCATTTACAATAGCACTCAAAATAGTGAAATACTTAGCTATCAACCTAACAAAATATGTACAGGATCTCTATGAGGAATACCATAGAACTCTCATGAAAAAAATCAAATAACTAAATAAATGGAGAGAGAGATAGTCCATGTTCATGAACAGGAAGACTCAATGTTATCAAGATGTCAGTTCTTCCCAACTTAAACTACAGATTCAATGCATTCCCAATGAAAATTCCAAGTTATATTGTGGGTATTAACAAACTGATTCTAAAGTTTATATGGACAGACAAAAGACTCACAATAGTCAACTCAATATTAAAGGAGAAGAACAAAGTTAGAGAATTGACGCTACCTGAATTTGTCTAAAGCAAAAGCAATCAAGACAATGTGGTATTGGCCTAAGAATAGACTAAACAGATTAAATGAGTAGAAAAGAAAGCCCAGAAATAGATCCCATATAGTCAACTGATCTTTGACAAAGGAGCAAAGACAATAGTTTTTTCAACAAATGTTACTAGAACAATTAGACATCACATGCAAAAAAATACATCTAGACTTAGACTACACCTTTCATAAAAATTAACTCAACCTAGCCGGTTTGGCTCAGTGGATAGAGCGTTGGTCTGTGGACTAAAGGGTCCCAGGTTCGATTCCGGCCAAGGGCACATGCCCAGGTTGCGGGCTTGATCCCCCCACCCCGAGTAGGGGGCATGCAGGAGGCAGCCATTCAATGAGTCTCTCATCATTGATGTTTCTCTCTCTCCCTCTCCCTTCGTTTCTGAAATCAATAAAAATGTATTTTAAAAAATGCTTAACATCACATCTCATTAGAGAACTGTAAATTTAAACAACAATGTGTTACAATTACACACCTACTAGAATAGCTAAAATTAAAAACAAAAATGAAGATACCAAATGCTAACGAGGGTGTGGAGCAACAGGAACTCTCATTTGCTGCTGATAGAAATGCAAAATCATGCAGAAATTTTGGAAGCCAGTTTGGCAGTTTCTTACAAAGCAAAAAATATTCTTACCAGATGATACAGCAATTGTCTCTTAAAGTATTTACCCAGATGAGTTAAAACTCAAGTCCACATAAATGTTTATAGCAACTTAATCATAACTGCAAAAAAACTGAAAGCAACCAAGATATCCCCAGTAAGTGAATAAATACATTGTGGTGCATTCACATAATGGAATATCATTCAGTGATAACAAGAAACAGCTAATAGCCCAAACCATAAAACTCCTAGAAGAAAACATAGGGGAAAAGCTCCATGATGTTGGACTTGGTAATGACTTCTTAGATATAATACCAAAGCATAGGGAACAAAAGTAAAAATAGGCAAGTGGAACTACATCAAGCTTAACTTTTGTTATAATCAAAGAACACAACAGAGTAAAAGAACCTATGGAATGGAAGAAAACATCTGCAAATCATATATCTGATAAGGGGTTAACATCCAGAAAATATAAAGAGCTCATACAACTCCACAACAAAAAAATCAAATAACCCAATTAAAAAATAAGCAAAGGATTTAAATAGACCTATCTCTAAAGTTATACAAATGGTCAAAAAACATGAAAAGATATTCAACATTACTAATCTTCAGAGAAATGCTTATCAACACCACAATGAGATATTATCTCACACCCATTAGGATGATAACTATCAAAAATCCAGAAAATAACAAGTATTGGTGGGAATGAGGCTAAATCAGAACACTTGGGTACTGTTGGTGGGAATGTAAAATAGTAAAGCCACTAGGAAAATAGTGTGGTAGTTCCTCAAAAAATTAAAAATAGAATTATCATATGATCCAGCAATTCCACTTTAGAGTACATACCAAAAAGAATTGGAGCCCTAGCTGGTTTGGCTCAGTGGATGGAGCGTCAGCCTGCAGATTGAAGGGTCCAGGTTCGATTCCAGTCAAGGGCACATGCCAGGGTTGCAGGCTTGATCCCCAGTAGGGGGTGTGTAGGAGGCAGCCAATCAATGATTCTCTTTCATCATTGATGTTTCCATCTCCCTCTCCCTTCCTCTCTGAAATCAATAAAAATATCTATACTAATAATAGAGGAATATGGAAATTTTCCAGGACACCATCACAGTAACGACTGAACAGCAGGCTGCGTGGGGCAACCAGGCCAGCAGGGGGGGGCAGTAGGGGGCAACCAGGCCAGCAGGAGGGCAGTTGGGAGTGACCAGGCTGGCAGGGGGAGCAGTTAGGGGCCATCAGGCCGGCATGCAGAGGCAGTGAGGGGCGATCAGGCGTCAGGGGAGGGCAGTTAGGGGTGATCAGGCTGGCACGCAGAGGCAATGAGGCCAGCAGGCAGAGGTGGTTAGGGTTGATCAGGCTGGCAGGGGGGGGGGCAGTTAGGGGCAATCAGGCAGCAGGCAGGTGAGCAGTTAGGAGCCAGCGTCCTGGATTGTGAGAAGGATGTCCAACTGCCGGTTTAGGCCCGATCCAAACTGGCAGTCGGACATCCCCTGAGGGGTCCCGGATTGGAGAGGGTGCAGGCTGGGCTGAGGGGACCCCCCACCCCCGCACGAATTTCATGCACCAGGCCTCTAGTATTTTTTTTAAAAAAAGAAAGAATTGGAAACAAGGTCACAAAGAGATATTTGCACACCCACATTCAAAGCAGCATTATTCACAGTAGCTAAACTAAACATGGAAGCAACCCAAGTGTCCATTATGGATGGATGAAGAAACAAAATGTGGTATATACATACAATGGAATATTATTCAGTCTCAAAAGGGAAGAAAATCCTGTCACATGCTACATGGATGAATCTTGAGGACATTACACTAAATGAAATAAGCCAATCACAAAAAGACAAATACTGTATGATTCCACTCATATGCAGTATCTAAAGTAGTCAAATTCACAGACATAAAGAAATTAGAATGGTGGTTGCCAGGAGCTGGGGGAGGGGCAAAGAAAAGTTGTTTCATGGGCATAGAATTTCAGTTCTACAGATGAAAAAGTTCTGAAAACCTGTTTCACAACAATGTAAAAATACTTAACATTATTGACCTGTATACTTAAAAATGGTTAAGATGCTAAGTTTTATATGTGTTTTTACCATAATTTTAAAAAATAGCTATCAGTCCACAAAAAGACATGGAGAAACCAAAAATATATATTACTAAGTGAAAGACGCCAATGTGGAAAGACTACACATTGTATTACTCCAACTATATGGCATTTGGGAAAAGACAAATCTGAAAAAGATAGCAAAAAGATCAGTGGTTGCCAGTGGTTTGGGGACAACGAGGGAGGGATGAATAGGTGAAGCGCAGGGCCTTTTAGGTTGGTAAAATTATTCTGTAGGATACTATAATGGTGAGTACATGGCATTATGCATTTGTCAAAACCCATTCTCATTATTGATGTTTCTAAATCTCCCTCTCCCTTCCTCTCTAAAATCAATAATTTTTTTTTTTTTAAAGGAAAGAGCCCTAACCGGTTTGACTAAGTGGATAGAGCGTCGGCCTGCAGACTGAAAGGTCCCAGGTTCGATTCTGGTCAAGGGCATGTACCTTGGTTGCGGGCACATCCCCAGTAGGAGGTGTGCAGGAGGCAGCTGATCGATGTTTCTCTCTCATAGATGTTTCTAACTCTATATCCCTCTCCCTTCCTCTCTGTAAAAAATCAATGAAATATATTTTAAAAAATAAAAATAAATAAAAAATAAAAAGGAAAGAAAAAGAAACACCAATGATGAGAGAGAATCATTGATCAGCTGCCTCCTGCACGCCCCCTACTGGGTATTAAGCCCGAAACCTGGGCATATGCCTTTGACCAGAATCGAACCTGAGACCCTTCAGTCTGCAGGCCAATGCTCTATCCACTGAGCCAAACCAGCTAGGGCTCATCATTGGTGTTCTTATCTCTTTCCCTCACCCTCCCTTTCTGAAATCAATAAAAATATATTTAAGGGGGAAAAAAGCATGAAAAAAGATGTGGAGACATGAGCTTGCTGGCATGTGATGTGGAGGGGAAGAGATTGCCATGTGAAGAAAGTGAGTGGCAGGAATAAAGGGGCAGCTGGACAAGGGAGGGGCCAGCTCAGAGATGGCCTGGAAAGCCACACCTCCCTTGGCGGACCGTCCCAGGCTTTCCTGACACACCTCAGCAGGTTCCCAGGGTTCTTGGGTCACTCCTGGCAAAGCTTTCCCTGCTAGTTTAGTGAGCACTTGCTATGTGTTAGGCGGACACCACACACAGTCCAGGATTAGCTCTAAAGCACCACTCCACTCCAAAGCCTCGTGTTCAGGATGTCATTTAGAGACAGAGATCAGACAGCCAAGGACATTGAGGGACAGAGACAGGCAGAAAGAACAGTGAGAGAGAGAAGTGAGAGGACAGAGAGAGGCAGAGAGAGACAAGAGACAAAGAGAGACAGAAAGGGAACAGAGAGACACAGGACACAGAGAGAAACAGGTAGAGACAGAACAATAGAAAGAGGACAACTATAGACAGAGGAAAGATAACAAGGGACAGAGACAGGGAAGCAAGAGACAGACAGAGAATAGGGAGAGACAGAGAAATGCCAAGCAAGAGAGATCCCCTCCTGGCAGCAGGAGCAACTCACACCTGAGTGGCAGAGCCACTGTGGAGAGCCAGCAACCTGGATTCAAACACCAACTCCACCACTCAGGTGCTCTGTGATCTGGGCAAACCCAGAGCCCTTGGTAGGATGAGGACAATGGCAGTGCCTCTCACAAGTCAGTAACAGTCTTGGTACGTGAGCAGTCCCTAAAGGTAGTTGGGCCATCTTAACCAGGGCTCAGGTTGGACAATGGAGGCTGGTCTTGTGCTGATGGGGGTCTACGGGACGGACCAGACAGAGGGGGTGGCATAGGCTGTGGTGGACAGCATGTCCGCTGGGCTCACAGTAGCAGAGTGGGGGAGCTATCCATGAGGCAGGTGCACCCCCTAGTGGCTGCCTGGAGAAGCTGGGAGGGCGACAGGAAAGGACTTTGGTGGGATTGGGCCCAGGCCTAGCAGGGCAATCACAGGCCCTGAGAGGAAGAGCTGCTCCATGGTAGGATGGGAGTCAGGCCAGGCACCAGGGAGGTTTCCTCACCAGCAGGGAGATGGTGCTGAGAGGGGGGAGGCTTTGATGGGAAGCATCTTCCAGCTTCCTCCTTCCCTCCCTCCCTCTCCCTTCCTCTCTTTCATTCTGTGCTTGTCTCTCTCACACATCAAGGAAACACAGGATAGAGAGGGTTTCTCATTGGAGGCGGAGTTCACAGCCTAAACGCAGGACTCTGACAGGTCGGTTCCCCTGCCTGAGATGCCTGTCCCTTCCTCAGTGAGGGCTCATACCAGAGGACCAGCCCTGACCTCACTGTCCCTTTGGAAGTCATGCTCACCAGCCTTTAGCCTGAGCAACAGCTGACACATGACCACCTTGTCCTCGAGCAGCAGCTTCTTAGGGGCCAGCAGCCCAGTCTTATTTACCTCCTGACACCCAAAGCTCAGGCCAATGTCTGGAACCTATTGTTTAATGAACCAAATGAGGGGAAAAGTTAATAAAGACTAGGAAATAGGTAAGTAAAATAAGCCAGACAGAGAAAGACAAGTATCATATGATATATATGGAATCTAATGAACAAAATAAACAAACAAACAAAATAGAAACAGACTCATAAATACAGAGAACTGACAGGTGTCAGAGGAAAGGGGTTTAGGTGAAAAGGGTGAAGAGATTAAGCAATCAACAGAACAAAAAACAAAAAGAAACAACCTCATAGACACTGACAATAGCATGGTAATTACCAGAGGGAAAGGGGAGTGGGGGGAGGTTGACGAGGGTAAAGTGGGGATAAAGGGTGATGGAAGGAGATGTGACTTGGGATGGTGAATACACAATACATGGATATCACAGAATTGTAACACCTGAAACCTAAGTAATTTTATTAACCAACTAGAGGCCCAGTGCACGGACTCGTGTACTGGTGGGGTCTCGGCCTGGCCTGCAGGGATCAGGCCAAAACCGGCTCTCCGGCATCCCCCGAGGGGTCCCAGATTGTGAGAGGGCAGTTCTCCTGGCTCCCTCCTCTCTGGTTCCAGGTGTGTCACCCGAGAACCACAGCTGCCAAGTCACCACAGCTTGGCAGCTTCTGCGTTGAGCATCTGCCCCCTGGTGGTCAGTGTGCATCATAGCTACTGGTCAGATGGTCACTTAGGCTTTTATATATAGAGACTAGAGGCCCAGTGCACAAAATTCATGCACTGGAGGGGGGAAGGGGGCTCAGCTGAGCCTTCCCCCTCTCCAATCTGGGATCCCACAGGGATCGGGCCTAAACTGGCAGTCAGACATCCCTCTCACAATCCGGGACTGCTGGCTCCCAACTGCTGGCCTGCCTGCCTGCCTGATTGCCCTTAACCGCTTCTGCCTGCCAGCCTGATCACCCCCTAACCACTCCCCTGCCGTCCTGATCACCCCCAACTGCCCTCCCCTGCCGGTCTGGTCGCCCCTATCTGCCCTCCCCTGTTGGCCCGATCGCCCCCAACTGCCCTCCCCTGCCAGCCATCGTGTGAGGGTGTGACGGTCAATTTGCATATTACCGCTTTATTATATAGGATACCACACAAATAAATTCAATTTTAAAAAATGTTTTAAAAAAACAGGAAATGGGACCTCCAAGAAGGTGGAAAAAAATAGTAGAGATGGAAATAGATTCCACCAAGTATGCAGACACATTTTCTCCTTCAGAGGTGTCCTTACCTGTATACCCGCTCCCGACTAGCTCCTGTCCCCCATTCCCTATCCCTGCCACACTTCCCACAACTGCCCTTGCAGGCTTTTCCTTGCCTTCCCCCTATTCTTCACATGTGGCTTTAGGCCACAATATACTCCAAAAGGTCCTGAAGGTCACCCATGTCCCCAAATCCAACAAGTGAGTGTCCTTCACCTCTTTATAGACTCTACCACATAAACACAGATACTGCCCACCCTTCTATCTTCAGCTCAGCTTGCTGCCCAGAGCCCTAGTCGATGAACCCGAAAGATATCTCTGCTTGAATGTCCCAGGTAACACAAACCCAACAGGCCTATAGCCAATACCCAGAAGCCAGCATCATAACCCCCCACTCCTCACATCCAGCCCCTCACCAACCCACAGTTGTCATCCCCAAGTCTGCCCTTCTGTACCACTCCTCTCCTCCCCCAGAAGCTGTAGCACCTTTACTTTTGGATATGGGCCCTGCAATGCTCTGTCCACAAGGCAGCTGGGGAGTTTTCAAAATGCAAATCTGCTCACTTCAAAGGCTGTCCCTCTTCTGGCTTTAATCACTCCAGTGTTTTCTGGTTGTTTCTACAATAACAAGCACAACCCTTGTGCACTAGACTCTGCTCTCTGCACACAGCCCTGCCCTGGCCCCTGCACCCAAACCTGCAGTTCCCAGAACCTCTCTATGTCTCATGTCATTAACCCTTCCTTCAGAGCCTGTACCCAAGTCCACTGTCTATGGCCAAGCCTTCCCGGCTCCTCTGACCAGCTTAAAGCACTTCATGTCTCTCACTCAGATCCCATTTCACAGGTCAGTTACTGTTTAACTAGAGGCCTGATGCATGAAATTCATGCAAGGGACTCTGCCCTACCCCTAACCCCCTCACCCCGCCACGGAGGCCCTCACAGCCCCTGCTTCATCCGAAGGTTGTCCAGAAAGATGTCTGGTCTAATTTGCATGTTACGCTTTTATTATTACAGATCTGTCTGATTCCCTAATCCACATTGGCCGCCCCCACCCCCACAGGACTGGGCAAGCATGGGGCCTGGTGTCAGCTAGGACTATGAAGTCTGCATACTGGGTATGAGGGTTGACACAGCGTCCTGAGTCTGAATTCTTCTAAAAGTTCGGACAAAGCAGATAGGCAGGCAGGTGAGGCTGCCTGAAGTTGGTGATGGGAGCCAAATGGCATAAACCAGAGCCCAGCAGGGCCAGAGGGGGGCTTTACTTGGGCCCTCATCTAATAGGGACCCCAGGCCCTGGTACCAAGGTGGGATAGGTGTTTGCAGATGTAGGTGTGAGCCTGAGGTGGGAGGCCAGCTGAAGTGGGGGAGGGGCTCATGTGCCTTCTGCCCCATAAATACCACCCAGCCTGACAAATACAGCCTAGAATGTGTGCTCCATGACACCATGGCCCTGAGAGGAACAGGGCATGCCTCAGGCCCACCACAGGCACTTACTTGAGCCTCAACTCCCACCTGCTTACCTTGCATGTTGTGCTCACCAGGGCTCCGTCTCGGCTCCAGACAGCACCCTGCACCAGGTCCCTGTGGGCTGCCAGCTCTGCAGAGAAGCAGCCAAGGTCAAGAGGGGCACCAGGATCGCCACACCCTGCCCTGGGCAATGAGAACACAGGGAAGTAGATGGGCCTAGTTGGAGTTAACTCTCTGGGGTGAAGGCAGCAGCTGCCAGAGTCCCTTCTCAGGTGGGAGGAACAAGGGCAGCAGCTCCTTCCAGATATTCTGTACTATATCCAGGGGCTCCTTCCTCAGCCCTACCATTGTCAGGCCATGTTCCTACTCTGAAACTTTCCAAGGTTTCCTGCACCCCACCCTCATGGAACTGCTGTGTTGTGCTGAGGAATAATTAAACTCTCAGCACAGTGCTGGGAACGTGATAAGGGCTTGAGATGATAGTTACAGATGGGGTGATTCCCTAATGACATCTGCCTAGTGACCTTCACCTCTGCTTCAAAGGTCAGGCTGGTCTCTTCAACTGTGCCAGGAACTCTTTGGGGACAAGCCTGCACCTTGTACTTTCCATTCCTTGTGGCACAAGATGCCTCCATGGTGGGCACTGACTAATGCTGTCCGGAGAGGAACCCTGAGACTCCTAGTTATGCTACTAATGGCCCTTGGCCTCAGCCCCACTGTGAGCGTGGTGTACCCTGGACACTGCACAGCTCTGGGGTGCCAGTTTGTCCTTCAACTCTCTGAGCCTTGTGTATGTGTTTGTATGTGTTTAATTTATTGATTCTAGAGAGGAAGGGAGAAAGACAAATATCAATTTGTTGTTCCACTTATTTATACCTTCATTGACTGAGGCTTTTATGTGTCCTGAATGGGTTAATCCCGCAACCTTGGTGTATGTGGATGACATTCTAACTAATGATCTACCTGGCCAGAGCTGAGCCTTGTGTCTTTCCCCTAAAAAGGAAGGACTCTGCAAAACGGACTCAGTGACACTACCACAAAAAAACACTTGGGCTCAGCTGAGGTTCATACTGCAAGGTCATAACCAGTCAAATACTGAGGTGTCTGGCTCAAAGTTGTTATCATGCTCTGGATGTCTGTGTCCCCTCCACATTTCACATGTTGAAACCTAACCCTCACTGTGATGAAATTTGGAGGTGGGAGCCTTTGGGAGGTGATTAGCTCATGAGGGGGGAAGCATCCATGAATGGCATTAGTACTTTTATAAAAGAGAGCTCCCTCCCCTCTTCACATGTCTCCATGTGAAGACACAGGGAATAAGATGGCTGACGATGAATCAGGAAGTAGGTTCTCATCAGACACCAAATCGGCTGGCACCTTGATCTTGGACTCCCAGTCTCTAGAACTGTGAGAAATAAATTTCTATTGTTTATAAACCACCCAGTCCATGGGATTTTGTTATAGAAGCCCATACAGACAAAGTCAATCTATATTGGGAAGATGAGAGGAAGGAAAACATGGCGAGGCAGGGATGGGTTGGGACTATAAGAGAGCAAATTCTCATCTCATGGGTAGAAGTCAATAGTTTGTTTTCAAAACTTAAATGACATACAGGGACCCCAGTATGTCAAGAAAGAACAGTATAAGAAAATTATTTAGACATGTGGAGGATAAAGTAGAAACAACAGCTGTAATTAAAACAGGTGCCAAGGAAATGGAGATGGTGGGGTGTTCATAAGACTTGGTTTTATACTATGTACAAGTGAGTTTTTGATACTTACTTTACAACTCATGATATCAAACACATAAACAAAGAAACAGAAAAGTTTCCAGGAGGGGGCTGCCCAGAAAGTGACGTGGCTAGTGTGGCCCATACCTGTTAGGGGCTGCTGCTTAGCCACATCCCAGACCTTCACGGCTGTGCCTGCCGTGCTCACCAGGATGCCATCCACAGTGGGGTGGAACTGCAGCACCTCTACCCGGGTGTCCTCGGGGCCCAGCACCAGCCCAGGTCCCGGGGGCAGCGCCTGGCCAGAGGCTGGCAGTCTCCATAGTTTCATCTGCGGGAAAGAGTAAGTTTGTGAGCCCAGGAAAGGGAGGGTCCTCACTGCCCCCGACTCCAGGGGTCATGCTTGGGCATGAGGCTGTGTGTCTGTGTTGGGAAAAGGAGGGAGACCTGGCTCAGGATCATGAGTGTGGTTGAAGGCTGGGGAGAAATGGGAGCAGGGAAATCAGGGGTTCTGACCCATCTCTTCTGAGCCTCCCACACTACCCCAGCCCTGATGTCTTTAGGAGTCAAGCAGTAGGACAGCACATCACAGGCAAGGCTCCGGCAAGTGCACAGGAGTATGTGGGAGTTGGTGTGGGTTAAGGAACTAAGAAAGTCTGGGCTGGCCTAGCCCTGCAAATCTGTGGAGGAGCTGAAGGGGTAGTGGGAGGGGTTGGACTAGGAAGGAGCAGGGCCCCAGAGGCTCAGGGGGCTCAGAAGGCCCCAAATAGGAGTGGGTGAGGCATTGAGCAGCTCTTCTAATGGTTCCACTCACCGTCCTATCTGCTGAGCCTGTGGCCAGGAGAAAGTCATCAAAGGGAGAGAAGTCCAAGTCCGTGATCAGGTCTGCAGGAGAGGAATGGTTGACTCAGGCCCAACAAGAACCCGCCAGAACATCCTGTTTCCAGCCCAACGTGCTCTTTTCCCAAGGCCTTGAATCAAAGCCCAGGGCTTCAGAGGTGACATCTCTGCACACATGGAAGCAGGCTCAAAGTCCCAGAAGGAGGGCATCTCTGCAAACTATGGGCAACTGCCATAGGCCTGCCTGCAACACATTTCCCCGAGAGCCCTGTGGACCCAGGGTGGCCAAAGACCTGGCATGGAGAGGTCAGCAGGGCAATGGGAAAAGAGCGCCTCGCTGATGTGGCTTAGTTGGTTGAGTGTCATCCCATGCACCAAAAGGTCACCAGTTTGATTCCCAGTCAGGGCTCATACTCAGGATTAGGGTTCAATCCCCAATCAGGGTGCCTACGGGAGGCAACAGGTGGATGTTTCTCTCTCACACTGATGTTTCTCTTTTTCTTCCCCTCTCCCTTTCTCTCTAAAATCAATAAAAACATATTTAAAAAAATAAAATAAAAGGTATTTCTGTAAAAAAAACAACAACAAAAAAATCCTTGGATTACCAGGAACCTGAAGTCACCTAAAGCCCAGAGCCTAGCACAGGGCTTGGCAAGAATATGTGAATGAACACAGTTCTGGCCCCACTGTAATTGGACTGAGTGGGATTCACAAACCACTCAGTCTGACTGTCCCTCAGCACTTCCTCAGGGAGACATATACATGTGTGCAGATGCAACAAGGAGCAAGTTCTGCCCACAGGGGTGACCCATAGATCAGGGGTAGGAAAGCCTTCAATGAGATGCATGGTGAATCCTGGAGGAGGCAGTAGGGGGAGGAGGAAGGTAGCTGTCACATGCCTGACCTAGGCATTCTCTACCCCGTTACTCCCCCCAAAGCTAGGGCTGACCAGTCCCAGTGTGGGAATGCACCTGATCTGTGCCCCAGCAGCCAGCTTCTCTCTTAGGAGAATTAAACCTAAGGGAAGGCCTAGCAACAGGGTGCTTTAGGGACTGGCCTAGGTGGAGGGTCACCAGCTCAGAGGGAGCTGGCAGCTTCCATGCCAGGACCCTCCTAAGACCTGCACACCTAGCTGCTCCTTTGGTTCTGGAAGCTTCCCAGGAACCTCCCAATAAATTTATTTTTGTCTTAAGCAAGCTGGAATTGGTCTGTTCTTTGCGACCAAAGAAACTGAACTTCCCAGCTCTGGCGGGTGGGGGTTGGGGTGCACAGAGTGAACCAGAGCCCAGAGGGGAAATGAGGCTGGGGGAGGGGGGTCGCAGAGACGAGACCAGGGCTTGAGTGTTGAGGGGAATGTAAGCAGGACAGCCAGGCCTGTATCACCACAGCAAAGAGCAGAGTGGCCACCCTACTGCCTGCCTCTCCACAGGCCAAGCATTACATTTTCCTCCCGGCCAGAGATAAGGAAGACAAAGGGGAGTATGAGGACAGGTACACCTTGGGACAGCCTCAGCCTGGACTCCTGGCCACAAAGCCCTGCTGCCCCACCCTGCAGGCTCTGAACTGGACAGGGCAGGGCACAGGCCCGGAGCAACAGCCAATGTAGGCAGTCTGGTATGCTGAGGGAATAAGAGGTAGTAATGTGACCGATCTGAGAAGCCTGAGTCCTTCATGTGCATTTATCTCACCAAATCCTCAGTGACCCACCAGGATGGCACTGTGGCATCATCACCCAAGTGGAGGACAAGGACACAAGGACAGAGATGTTAAGTAACTTGTCTAGAGCTAAGAAAGGGCAAAGCTGAGGGTCAGGCCAGGCTGTCCAGCTTCAGAACCTACAGACTCAGCTCATCATCACACTGCCTTTCCCAAACTGGGGCACATCCCCGGCTCACCCCACAGCCTAGACATGCAGAAAGGCCCTCTAGATGCTCCCCTGCCTAAAGAGCCACTTGGCCCTGAGGCAAGACATAGAAGGCGCCCCAAAGTCTGGGCATCCTGAAGACAGGGCAGAGCCCAGCCCAACACAGTCTCCCCACCACCACTGGCACTGGTGCCTTGAAGGCAGGTTCTGAGAGAGCTGGAGCTCAGCTATTCTCACTGCAGCTTCCCAGCAAGGTTGCTCCTGCAAAAAGAGGCTCTGAATAGTTGGAGCTACAGTGAGGCTACCACCTGCCAACAGAAACCTGGTCCAGCTTCTATTTGGAACCCCCAAGTCACAGGGCACTCACCACCTCACAAACTCCACCAATTTGGAGCAACTCTCCCGTGAATAAAAAATATCTAGAAGCAAGCAGAAGGGTGCCTAAGAGCACAAGGTCAGATAGACCTGGCTCTGCCGGCAGCAATATCAACATTGGCAAGGTCCTAACCTGAGCCTCAGTTTTCCTAGCTGCAAAGTGGGTTACTTTTAAATATACTTGAAAAAGGCGTGAGAGTAGATGAGAAAGCAGACTTCTTACATATGCTGCAACACAGGTGGATCTCAAAGTATTATGCTAAGTGAAAGAGGACAGATTCAAAAGACCATGCATGGTATTTTCCATTTATGTGAAATGTTCAGAAAAAGCCAGTCTATAGAGCAGAGGCTGGCAAACATTTTCTGGAAAGGGTGAGGTAGTAAATATTTCAGGCTTTTAGGGCCATATGGTCTCTGCTCAACGCTGCAGTTGTTGAGAGAAAGTGACTACAGACTGGCCATCGATGAAAAGGCCTGGCAGTTTTCCAAAACAACAGTTTACAAAGACAGGCAGCAGGCCAGATTTGGCCACACCAGTAGCTTGCAGACCCCAGCTGCAGAGGCAGAAAGTATATCAACAGTTGCCTGAGGCTGCAGTGCCTGAGATGGAAATGGTTTAAGCACGAACGAGCATGAGGAATCTTCTGAAGCAATGTCTAAAACTGAATGGTGGTATACACAAGCCTGTAACTTTATAAAAGTCATCAAATTCTTCATTTAAAACAGGTAACATTAATGATATGTAAATGATATCTTGATAAAGTTGTAAAAAGCTTTAAAAAAGGATTAGATGAGAAAATGGGGGGGAAGGACATAGAGAGGGCTCCATCAATCTTCATTACTGTTATTTTAAGAACTGCCATCATCATCATCATCATGATTCCTACATTGAGCTGCACACCCACAACAGGGACCAAAGGTTAGCCCCCTTCTCTCACCTAAGGCCATCCAACAGATAGCCAGGAATGCAGGCCAGGACTGGCCCACAGCTCCCAAAGCTGGACAGGGAGCAAGGAGACAGCCAGGGGCCGTCCTAGGAGAGCAAACTGTTTCCTGAAAGTGGGCAGATTGCCAGGCAGGTTGTTGGGAGCCCCCAGAAGTAGCTGTGGCAGACAAAAGCTCTCTTTGTGACAATTTATCTCTGGCCCTGCAGCCCAGCCCACACTTTCCTTGGAGAGCTCTGAGGAGTCTGGCTGGGGAGGAGGCCTGGTGGTGAGGGGTGGTCTCCTAAGCTCCAGGAAAGGACACGGGGCTAAGAACCACATAGAGTTGAGTCCTCTGCAGTAATAGGAAGCCAGCATCAGGGAGTCTGGTGCAGGCTGGTGGTGCATATCCCCCTTCCTCCCAGCTTAACACATGGAGCACCCAGCCTTCTTCCTCTCTGCCAGGCCCGAATTCTCTACCAGGATCTAGCCTTCTAATCAGGACCCCACCTGTCAGAAGGAACAGTGACAACAATAGGAGGGACCTGGAAAGTCACGGGCCTGTGAGACCAGGTGAGTATGAATCCCTAGCCCCAGAGGAGGAGGAGCAAGTTCCAGATTTCCTGGATCCAGCCCCCACTCACCAGAATGGCAGCCCAGGTGGGTCACGTGTCTCTTGTTCTCTCCCTGGCCTTCCAGAGGCACAATGCCCAGCACACCTGCCAAATAAACACAGTTGCTCTGACTTCCAGTCTAATGGGGACCATCTACCTCCCAGCCTAGGACTCCCAGGGTACACAAGCTCTACTAGTAAAAGCTCAGCCTTGGACCTTCCTAGAGCCTCCACCAATTGTAAGATCCCATCCCTCTAGACATAATAATTGGCCCAGGATTAGGTGCTTGCCCCACACAAGAACCTTCCGTGACACTGGAGATATAAAAGTAGTGGGGAAAGAGACTCTTTCTGGCACTGGGGATCATAAGAGGTAAGGTGCCAGCAGCTACCATTTTTCCCAGCTTTACCTAAGAAAGAAGTCATTACCCAAGGGCAACAAAGCCGAGGGCAAGAGAGAAGCCAGGATTTATAGCACACATGAGCCTCTGGATACAGCTCTGCCTGAAGCCCCTGGACTTCTTAGATATACAAGTCAAAAGGATATCATTCTTGCTTAAGAATTCAGTTTGTGCCTAGCTGGTTTGGCTCAGTGGATAAAGCGTTGGCCTGTGAACTGAAGAGTTCCAGGTTCGATTCCGGCCAAGGGCACATGCCTGGGTTACGGGCTCGATCCCCAGTGGGGGACATGCTGGAGGCAGCCAATCAATGATTCTCTCTCATCATTGATGTTTCTCTCTCTCTCCCTCTCCCTTCCTCTCTGAAATCAATAAAGAAATATATTTTTTTTAAAAGAATTCAGTTTGAGGTTTGAGTTATCACTGGCAACCAAAAGAGTCCCAACTAACGCAAGGAGTTTTATAAATCTTGGTTCCTATTGATCCTAACCACACTAGGCTCCCAGACAAGGAGTGGGTAGCATATGGAGACAACCGGAAAACAAAGGCAACAGCCCCCTCCCCACCCTCTGGGCCATGCTCTTGAAGACCACAGCCAACATGGTTTATACAAAGTATACACACACATTCTCACCAAAACCGATCTGATTACTGCATGTTGACCAGTTTGTAGGGATCTAAGGCCCTGCATAGTGCTACCTTCTGAGCTCTGTGAGACCCCTCTAAGCCTCCAGCCTGCAATGAGTCTGCCCTTCTGCCCCATCCTATTTGGTGACAATGTCTGAATCTCCACACCCATGTCCTCCTCCCTACCTGTACGGTCGGAGTTGAAGGCGATCAAGCTGCAGCTGGATTTGATATGGTTCCCACAAGAGGGGGTAGTTCCTGCTCGAATGTCAGTGATCCAGGCCTGGAAATAAACAATAAGAACCCTGAAGGCCAGGGCTCTGCAACTGCCTAAAACAAGGGTTGAGGCATGATTCAGGGGACCTTAAAGCTGCACCATTAGAGATGCATTCCTTTGGATCAAACTCTGTCACCATTCACACAGTCCCTTAAAAAATGCAAAAGTTCTTGAAATGATAACCTAAGTCATAAAGGGACCAGATTTGCTTATTAAATCAGTTCTCTGATAAGGGAGAGGAGGCTGTCAAAAGGAAACTCAGGCTGAACCAAGTCAAGGGGCTAACTGGGCAGTGTTCACTCACATTTGTGTGTTGTTTCTGTTAAAAGGAATAGAGAGAAACAGAGAACAGGGAAGTGAGCACCTAGACAGAATACAGACTCAACTTCCTCAACTGTATTGCTAAAGACCTCCACCGGAGTCCAGGGGTCTTCTTCAAACACTGGGAGAAAACCCCCCAGCCCAGAGAAGGGTAAAAGCAAGGCCTTCCCAGGAAATCCCATAGTGAATGACACACTGCCAAGAAAAGGCAATAGTGTTAACACCCCCACACCCGAAGGAGCAGAGGAGCACTTTTTCTGAAACTAAGATAGGCGAGGTCCACATGTTTTCTCTCTTGGTATCAAAACATCATTCAACACTCCTTCCTGCCACCTAACAATGAGCACTCACATTTCCCCAATTACCCACCCACAGTGTCCCGGAAACCACCTCCACCACGCGTTTCATTTTCAATGTTCACCTGCCTCTGATAAAAGAACATTATCATTTTGCATTCTTTTTCCTTCCTGATTCATGTTTACAGTACAAATACAGCGACAGGAAATATTTTTGAAAACAAGAACAGATCACCTGTTCTCCCATTTCCCTAATATAAACTGTTTTAAATTCCCTCCATAATCTGTTTCCATGCCTGTCTGTTTACCTTGCTGGAATGAGGACCACCAGGGAACAAGCCCCAGGAACCCTCAGGGACACCCCAGACCCCGCCAAGCAGTACTTACTGCACTCAGAGGGATGATCTCAATGCAAATCTGAGCATCTCTCCCCAAACCCCACCCCATTTCCTTTCCTAACTCCCCACTGCACTCAGAAGAAAAGCCAACTTCTTCCTGTGGCCTTCGGATTCTGCAAGATCGCTCTGGACTCATTGGGCAACATGCTTCCCCATCACTGCCTCCCATCCACCATGGCCCACTTCCCTTCCTCCACCAGGCACTTTCCCACCCCACTCTCCCTCTAGCTGGCTGCATCCCACCCTTCCAGCCTCAGCTTAAATGTCACTTCCTTCCAGCAGCCCGCCCTGATCACCCTGGTGAGATTAACCCCCACCTCACTGTCCATCTCCATCTCTGCAACCTGCCCTGATGATGCAGGGTATTTATTAAAACTTGCAACGCCCTTGTATGCCTGGTCTGCTTGCTGGCGGTCTCCCTCGTGAGGCTGTATGCAACACAGGAAGGAAGTGCTGTGCTATTCACTGTTGTGGCTCCAGCAGCTGGGCACAGTGCATGGGAGATGCTGTCAGGAGGTGAAAACCAGGCTTCTGCCCCCAGCTGTGCTGATGTGCGCTGGCCCCTGAAAGGGTCACTACATAGGGTCAGTTCCTAGGCCCACTTATTGAACCACACTGCCAGGCCTTCCAAATAACATGAGCTGCAGCAGACCAGGGTGGCATCCGCCCTGAAGCACACTCCTCGGGAGGCCCGCTGCCTTCCAGGGGCCTGAGAAGTCCCCCAGTACCTCTGGGCTCCACCTCCTCGAGCTTCTCCAGGCCCCACCCAGCCCCTGGCAGCATCACCCCGAGGAAGGGAAGAGCCAGCAGGGAGAGGAGGAAGCGCCGGCGGAAACCCGAAGGAGCGGTGCGGCTCCCCGAGTCCATCTGACACAGCGGGACTCGTCAAGGCCAGGGCAGAAAGGGGCATCTCCCACACCCCAGCCCCAGGCAGGAGTGACTGGGACGTCAGGGAGGAGGAGCTGGCGCTAGAAGCGGCCGAGCCGCGGCTCCCCGGCGAAGACGACCGGAAGCCAAGAAGGCAGGAAGCCTTGCGGGCTTCAGGCCTCGGACTGGCCGGGTGGGCTATGCCACCTCGGGGGC